TAACATGATCATTTTATTGAGTTTCAGAATGTGTATCTAGAACATTTACTTTGTGGGTGGTCTTGCATAATAAGCTTACAATGAAGTAGGTAGGTTTACGTTTGTATTTGATAAGTTTTGTGTCACAGAACCTCACAATGGCTCTGTGACATGCCGGGTGGGCAGGGCTAGACAACAAAGGGGGGAGTGAGAGTAGCAGCCATATTGTAGCATGCACACACCTTCTGTGATTATTCACTCAGGTACTACAGTAAGCTAAGACTATCATGAAGGAAGTTTGCATGCAAGAATCTTACCCTGATTTTACACTAGAGAGCTTACACTAATTTATCTTCTCACTGTTGCTTGACGGGCAGACTTTTAATAAACACACACAGAGGCCCAGTGTCTTTCTCTACAGGAAGCTCCGGGCCAGTCCCATCTTCAAGCTCTTCCTCTGAGGTAATCCAGTTCACCAGTGTCTCCACAAGAGGAAACATTATACTTGGGTCTGGTGACCTCATTTTGTCATTATTTTGTAAAATACAGAAACATAGAGAAATAAAATCACTATCATGCCAGCATTCCTAAAAAGACGTCGTGACTATGACAAATCATACTATTGTAGCAATTATCCTATATTGGCCTATTTCACTTACGAAAGGAGAGTGGTAAGGAAATTGGTTAAGACTTGGAATATAAATCCCTTGGGGTTGATGTTACCAAGAACCTGCCCCAGCAAAGAATGATTGTTCCTTTGCAACATACTGTCATTTTAAAAAAGCTTGTTCATAAGCACTTAGGAGCATCAGCCACTTGAAATGTACACAAACCATACATATGTCTTAAAAGACTTAAAGACAGGGTCAAGATTCCCACTCCTTTCAAAAATTCTGTGTTCTCAAACTGATTGTTCAGTGGAAAATATGTCAGGGAAGAAAGCTAAGGAAATGTGTGACTTCTTCAAAATATTTTTTGGCTTAATTTTTCCAAAATGGTCACTGTTGTTTCTGTTTTGTCTGAGAGTAACGTATTCATGAAACTGACCCAAAGGGGTGTCTGAGCTGGGGCCTTTCTCTACTGGTTCCCATGAGGCAGGGAGTTTCCTGGCCTGTTGTTGCTGGGGGGCACTGGGAGGCTTGGCCTCTGTGAGGATATGGGGCAGAGAAATTTCCATTCTAGAGTGGTGACCACAGGAGTTCTTATGTTGAAGTGCTTTATTACAATCCAAAATTCAATGAATCAATACAGTAAAGCTCTTCTTCCATGACAGAACATATTTAGTGAAACCTCAGAAAACAAGTTCCCAAGTTTTTCAAGACATTTGCTAAACTCTATAGAGATGAAAGAATCTTTCCAACTTGTCTGGTAAGTTAAAAATAAAAATTATTGACAGAGAGCCACAGGTTGGGTTTGTGATACAATCAGTGACTCTTGATGAGAGGATGTTTGCAGATATGTTTTTGAAGATAAGCCAATTTGTTAAAGGAATCTTGTTTCAGGAAATCTAATCATCCATATTAACCCCATTGGAAGACTGGTGAAATGTAATCACTTGAACAAATGGGTGGGGTTCAGAGACACAATATAAGGAGACTCCAGGAGGCAAAGTCAGTCTTCTCCAGAACTGAGAGGAAGTGTTTGGAGTTCACCTGCATCTTGAGACCTCTGAAAGCCACACTTGGAACTCTTGACCCCTGAACCAACTTCATATTATTCTCCAGGGTAGACTGTTTCTACAGCTCCTTAGGTGAGTACACAGTTTCACCACAGAGCAGCTCCTGTGACTCTCCTGAGGGAAAACAAATGAAATTCCCTAATTTTAATTTATTGGTAACATGAGATTTTTTTCAATGTAACAACCCTGTTTACTAACTTAGTGAAATGATCCTGTTCCGGTTTTGTTAGCTTGTCTTGGCATGCACTGTGGAATGATTAGGGGGATGCATTTTACTTCTGTGATTGCGTTTCTTTCTTAGTTGTCCCCATGCATTTTAAGGACTCAGAAACTGGCTGACTGATATGTTTTGTGTTTGATGTAGCTTCTAAAAATATTTATTAAGACTACTTGATTCAATATGTAGTACCTATCACCACTTACCCAAAAATTGGAGTGTGTCTGTATACACCAGAGAGATAATACTCTACACTATTGAGAGCGCACACAATGAATTGCTGAAAATATTGCTAAAGTGAGGTAACTATCATCCCTCCAAAAATATACATTTTTGACAGAAATCTTAAAGAAGCTAGGGAATGATTGAGGAGTCAGAAAAGCGACACTGGTTGGATAAATTACAATTTGCCAAGATTTAGTTTCCTCTTTATTGACTCTGAATGTTCTCAAAGTGCTTTAAGAAGAAGAAAAAAAAAAATTTTTGGATACAAATGCAGATTGAGATAAAAAAAAAAGGACATCTAAAGAAAATGCATGATAATTACATGAAATAATAAAAATACAAGCTTAATCAACTATCTCACACCAAATCAATGACTGGCATAGAGAATTGTGACTGTTTGCAGAAATCAGGACCCACCATGTACAGCTGTCAATTCGGTCAAGCTCCTGAAGCTCGTGTTATCTAGAGGAAAACAAGACCTCATCAAAACTGAGCTTCTCCAGTAATTAGAAGGGAAACAGGCCAGAAAACAGATAGTGTTGGTGAGGCCACTGAGAAAATTTTCTGCAGCTCTTGAAAGCTCTCCTTGTGTTTCTGTTTTCCATTTGCATCCAATGAAAAATCCAGATTCTTCTGCTCCTTAAGCAGTGCATTATTTAGTCACAACCCAAGTTTAATTTTGTTTGTTCCCTTTTTGTCCTGGGGAAAGAGGAATAAACTGATGTTCTTCCCTCAGGAAAATGGACTTGGAAATCCCAGAAGCCTTCCAGAAGGATCTCACCTGCCTCGTCTGCCTGAATTTCCTTCTAGACCCAGTCACCATAGGCTGTGGACACAGCTTCTGTAGGTCCTGTCTTTGTCTTTTCTGGGAACAAGCTGAAGCCCCTGCCAGTTGTCCGGTGTGCAGACAACGATCAGAACAGACAAACTTCAAAACCAATTTTCTTCTGAAGAATCTGGTGTCCACTGTCAGAAAAGCCAATCTCAGGCAATTCCTGAAGTGTGAGGAACACCTGTGTGGGACCCACAAGCAGACAAAGACGATCTTCTGTGAAGCTGACAAGAGCTTGCTCTGTTTGGTCTGCTGTCAATGTCAGGAGCACAAGACTCACAGACATTGTCCCGCTGAAGAGGCTGCTGAGGAATCCTGGGTGAGTGATGCCTCTGAGACATGTAGGAAGCTTGGGGGTGGTACAGCTAAGAGACTAAAATGATGATGCTTAAATCTTCTCTTTACTGACTTGGTAAAGAATCCACCTGCAATGCAGGAGACCTGGGTTTGATCCCTCGGTTTGGAAGATCCTTTGGAGAAGGGAAAGGCTACCCATTCCAGTATTCTGGCCTAGAGAATTCCATGGACTATATAGTCCATGGAGTCACAAAGAGTTGGACACAACTGCGCAACTTTCACTTTTACTGAGTGCCACGAATAGATCTAGTTAACAATAATAAAGTGGTGAAGAATATACAGCAGTATACCTGCTTTGTGGAACTTGTATCCAATGGTTGGCTGATGAAGCTAACTGAAATTATTTGGGTGATATATTATTATGCTAATGACACTGTAAGACCTTCATTTTAAGAAAGAAACTGACTGTAAAATCAACAAGTGCCAAAATACTTTTCATTGAATACAGGTTTTCTAATCCTAGACAAGAAGGAAGATACAGTCAGTACACTGGATTTTACAGAAGATAAACATAAGTATATTCAAATTTTGATGCAAGTTGCCACAGCAGCAGAAAATTAGTCATACCTTTGGCAGATAATCACCTAATGATGTGTGGATTTTTAGTGTAGAATTTCATAAAACAGATCATGAGTGAGGAAAAATAGGGACACCTGGTCACCTGCCGTGCTCTGTGTCTCCCTCAAGGACTTTTATCTAATAATTGTCAGTACATCCCAATCTTTGAGCTGTGAAACGCCAATGTATTTGCTTCTTTATAATAAAATTTATAATTCTTTTACAGGAAAAGTTGACAAACCAAATGAGATCTTTATGGGAAAAGATTCAAGAAACTGAAAGAAATCTCAAGAAAAATCACAGAGGAACTTACCCTTGGATGGTAAGTAGAAGAACATATTTCTCTGAAAACAAACAAACAAACAAACAGATTGAAGCAGACAGTGAGAAAATTATCATTAATAATGTGAGCTGAAATTACCATGTATAGTGAAATTCAGAGAGTGAGTTGAACACCATCAGAAAAAATCTTCTCATCACCATTCAACCAACATTTTCATGCCTCTCAAGCTCTTTAGAATCCAGTGGGTCAATAACTGAAACAAAATACCCATTAGAAGAAAGTTCTAAGGTGGAGGTTTATGGTGTGATGTGAATGATTATATAGACATGATTCAGTATCTCAAGGAAAATTTCTCAAGTTTAAGATCAATTCCAGTTCTGAAGTTCAAGTAAATGTTTTAAAATCCATGGGTTTAAAAACAAATAAAAAATAAATAAAATCCATGGGTTATTTCAGGCACAGATTTCTGTCAGTCATACATTCCAGAAAGTAAAAGGCATGTCATTTGGAACCACAAAGTACTTCAATCTGATTAGTACATGAGCCCAGGTGATGCAAAGCAAACAGGAACAGTTAACTCCTTAACATTTTAAGGAGTGTGCCCATCATGGTGAAGAGTGATTGCTCTCTGGCTAGAGAGTGATATTGGTTCAAGTTGGAAAAAATGTGACATGTTAAACAACTCAGGGGGAAAGGAATAGGAGAAAGAGTTGGAGCATAAGAGAATGAATCATTCAATACCAGGAGGAATATGAAATGGAATGAAGAGAAATGATCTTCCAAACAGTATGGGAAGAAGCTTGTGAACTTACAGGGAGGAAGAAAACTGATTCATAGAGGAAAGAACACTAGAAACAAATGATTGAAGCTGGACAGCAGTTCGAGGGCAGGCAATAGTTTCTAGGAAGATGTTTCCTGAGATTACCAACACTGAAAGTATTATGTAGCATGGCTGCTAAGAGAGAAAGCCAGGAGATACTAGGTGAAACACAAGCTTACTTATTAGCATTGAAATGAGGATATTTTATATGACACATGAATCACCCATAAATTTCAATTGCTTACATGGGCTCTTTCACATTTAACAGGAGGCATATGAAAGAAATGATTCATGAAAAGATTTTCTCTAAGTGTTTTAGGAACTCCTGAATTAGATGAAAGTTGTTTGAGGAAAGGGTGTGTTTGGTTTCTGATCAATTAAAAAGAATGAGAACAAAGTGAAGGAAAGGGGAATGAACTTGACTTCTGAGATGAGGGAGGGTATGCATTTAGCATGGATGTAGCTTCTTGGGAGAGAATATGAATCAGAGCAAACTAAATGATGTTGAAATTCATCTCTCAACAGTTTTATGTGTATCGACATAGAGACATGATTAGGAGAACTTATCAGATGGCACCCCCATTTCTCCCAGAGGAAGAAGATTACTATGTAGAGAGTATTGTAAAAGAAGGCCAAAACATATGCAAACAACTCAGAAGAAGGCAAGAGGAAATAATCAGAAAGAAGAGAGAGCTCCAAGAAATACACAAGGAGCTCATTCAAATGTGCTCTAAACCAGATGTGGAGCTGCTCCAGGTAAGAACTGAGGATCTGTTTGAAAATACATTACCTGAAGTTCACACCTTTGACTTCCCTGACATAGTAAATTTCTTCATCCCCTGAGACTAAGATGGGATTCTCTCCTACTTGGAAATATTATAGATAAAGTGCAACTCATGCAACTCATGACTGGGCAAGCTTTACAGTATTCTGATCCTAGACATTCCCCAGGGAATATTCCCTTTTCAAAATTGCCTTTTGTAACTTGCCTCTATTAAAACCAGAAAGGAACAGCTTATGTACTCATTCCATTTTTTGGTCTCCAAATGTGTAATGGGAGACATTTGGACAAAGTGTATATGTGTATGTATATACATATATACAAACACACATATACATGTATGTGTGTGTGTATGTATATTTCCACTTCTTATTGGGATATACCAGGTTTCATTAAACATTAGTTTGGAGCTTATTACACTTTGGGGAAAAGCTGCAGGAAAGATCAATGTGCAGAGATAGTAGGGTGAATCACCAGTACTCTTGTCCTTTCTGTTTCACCTTTCGTCTTATTAACTCATCAAGAAATACATTCCATCCATATAAAATATGTTGTCCCAAAGGTTTTTGTTTACATTTTCAGAAAGAAAAGGAAAACAGATGTCTCAGACTGTTTCTGATGGTGATGATTTGAACTCTACTGAAGTTTTGCCAACCCAAATCATGGTTGCCTATATATAAGGTCTAACTTGTCTTTTTTCTTTTTTTTTTCTTGACAGGAATTGGAAGACAAACTGAAATGGTAAGTTTTTTGATGCTGATGAGGGCACCTGTGGGCTCTGAAAGAGATACGGCAGCACTTAACAAAGCGATGACGTAACTTACCTAGATAATGCTAGATTGCTTGTGTACATGTGTCTGCACCTGTCTTGCTGAGTATGATTTCTTGCTCAAAAGGAAGTTAACCTTTTTGTTCCTGTGGCAAAGGGAGGTATTCTCCAGCTCAGTGCAAAAATTTTTTAAAGGTCAGTAATTTCTGATTTAGATTTCAAAATCACAAGCAGCTAGATGTGCAAAGACTAGTTTTTCCCAGATTTGAGGTTAGAGATGCAATTATCTCTGAGAAATGGGCTGAAGTCAGGGCAAGAAGAAGAGTGAGAATAATTTTCCAAAAACAGCTCAATTCTATCCCATGAGGTTGGAGAAGAGATTTAGATGAAGAATGTTGAGCTGAAGGATGTTGTCTTATCGTAAAGGCTGTGTTTAAAAGCCCTGGGCAGCAGAAGGATGAACCGTATCTTCCCCTTACAGGAGTGAATCAGCACAGCTGCACATGCCTCAGCCCCTGGTCCCTGAGCTCCCTGCACCACCCATGTCTGGGCTGATGGACTGGCTCAACCGCTTCCGAGGTGAGTGTNCTTTGCCCAGCAGCATTTGTGCAATTATTTGAGTGTTTTATTGCATTTTGTGTTATTACTTATAAAATGAGTGGAAAATGGGAAAGTGATAAGAAACTTACATCACATAAACTTAATTTCTTTGAGGCATAGCTAGAAATTATTAGCATGCTTCAGGTAATGAATCTCAAGATTCATTATATTCATAGTGCTTAAACTAGTTGGTATTCCACTGGGAAAAAAATAACAAAATACATGTATAAACTAATAGAAAAATTTGAAAAATATGTTGTTTAAAAAGCAGATTTTAATTAGGGAATTTATGACATTCATGTTCTAGATTTTAAGATACCATGAATTGTAAAGTGCACTATTATTTAAATAGTATCTCATAAGGAATGCAAAGTGCTGAATTCAAAGTAAAAAATCAATTTAAGAGGTATAATACACTGATTTCAGAAATGGTGAAATATGAGTCTTAGAATCAGATAAGTGCATTATTGTTTTTAATGCTGAAAATATTTTGTCTATCTTGTTCATATTTTACTCTGATATGCATTTTAGAATGTATTATCTATAAAGTTAAACTAGGTCCATTATCTTGTATATGAAAGCTCATTTAAAAGAGATTAATGAGGCATGGTGGGGGCGGTGGTCCAGAATTGGTAATGGTCATCCTGCTTCACACACACAAGAAGAAAGTTGTCCCTGTTGGACTTGTCCAGTATGCCATCATCCTTCCTTATCCAGGAATCCTTACAGATGCCTACAGCCCAGTCCCAAGAGCTGTCCATGAGCATCTCCCAGTATTGTTTGCCAGAGGTGAAGCTCTGGTCTCCCAATGCAGCAAAATACTTGGATGTTCCACCATCATGCCTCTGTACATAGAGAGACCTCAGGGCAGGGTTGGGGTGTTCCTTGATTGTGACAGTGGGAGTATTAGTTTTGTGGATGTTGCCAAGCGCACCCTCCTTTGGAGATACGATGATGGCGTGTGCACTTTCCCTGTCAGGCCCTTCATCTGCACTGGCCACAGGTGAGGAGGCTGAGTCACGGCCCACATGGGATGCTCAGGACTCCTCTGAGGGAGCCCTTATCCCCTGCAGTATATCAAGGAGACTTCCTGACCTTTAGGCTCTTTCTACTGTAATGGAGCTTCCTTTATTGTTATTTGATGTGAAGATAGTGTCAAATGCAAATTTCACTTGGTTGTCCTCCATATTCCTGACAATAAATTCTTCTATTGTTACCATGTGTCCAGAATATATGCTGTGATTTTTCACTTCCTTCATGAACTTCCTAAATTCACAACAATATGACCATGTGCCTCCCACTTCCGGGACCTCAATACAAGAACTCAGAGCTTGCACAGCACAGGCAGACCTGGTCACCAAGCAGGCCAACGCCAGCCTGCAAACTTCTCCTGCTTCCTTGTAACTTCCTCTGCCCTATATACATCTATTCATCCTCAGGATGAAATCTGATTTGCAGGGAAATCGCCATTGCCCTGGAAACTGGGAAAAGCCTTTCTTTTAGAGAACTCAGAATTTGCATCTCTTTTTTCTATTACAATAGTATAAGGGAAAAGACAAACAATCTCCTAAAGGATGGACCCTATGGCTTCCCTTTGGCATATCTGAAATACCACCATCATTATCACCATACTTGAGGGCCATTATTAAATAAGGGCTACTTGAAGACACTTAGTGTGATTTTTAGGACCATTGATATGATAACCCAGAAAGTTAAATCAGTGAGGGTGGGATAAGCAGGACAAAATGACAATACATCTTCTCGTTGGGATAACGCTGGATGGTGTGGGATTTCATTGCACTACAGAGAATGACTCACAATTAAATATATTTGAATTGTTTATTTCTTAGATTTTCCATTTAAAATTTCATGAACAAGGTTTTAACCACCTGGGTAATTGAAATCAAGAAAAGCAAAACTGCGGATGAGTAGTTTATATTAAAAAAAATAATAATCTAGAGAAAGGAGTGAGAAAAGTGTTTGGACTTTGAATAATTTCCAAGTTTTCCTGTGGGTGATATTACTGTGGAACAGAGGATTAACATCTAGGTCATCAAAAAAAAAAAAAAAAACCATAGCAAGTGAAGAACCTTGTATACCATGGGGCCTTGCATAAATATGAATTTCCACTCTAACAAAGATTGAGATAATCCGTCTGAATTTGTCATATTGTCAAAAAATCATTACATGTGGGTTATTTCTGGAAAATAACAGGATTTCTGAAAGTAACCAATGGATACAATTGCCTTATATTAATGTGTCTGAGGAAAAATCAAACTGATAGTTGAAAGAAAGGATGCCATGAACATACGAGTACACATCATGAACTGAAATGAAAGTGAAAGTCGCTCAGTCATGTCCAGCTCTTTGCAAACCCGTGGAATACAGTCCACGGTCTTCTCAGGCAAGAATACTGGATTGGGTCACTTTTCCCTTCTCCACGAGTTCTTCCCAACCCAGGGATCAAACCCAGGTCTCCTGCATTGCAGGCAGATTCTTTACCAGCTGAGCCACAAGGGAAGCCCAAGAATACTGGAGTGGGTAGCCTATCACTTCCCCAGGGGATCTTCCCAACCCAGGAATCAAACCAGGGTCTCCTTTACTGCAGGTGGATTCTTTACCAACAGAGCTAAAAACCTAAAACAAAATAAGTTAATAGATGCTTAAGAATAATTTAAACTTATGTTAATTTAAACATAAATTTAAATCATGTTAGTAGTTGCAAATTCAGTATTAAAGCTTTGGAGTGTCAACTTTAAAGTTCACAATCAGGACAATAATACATCACCACTATTAATGTTTTTTTAGACAACTGTCAAAACACAGTAAGAAATAAACTTTAGGTATAAAAAGTCAAGTATGATCATTATTTCTGATGTAACAACTGTTCATCTGAAACACACTAATAAAGAATAAAGTAAAAAAAAAAGAGTATACAATAAATAAATAAATAATTAATTAAGATTTCTTTTGGAAACAAGATTAATATTTAAACTCAATTTTTTTGTATATTAAAGATACAACTACTAATAAAAGATACTATAGTTCATGAAAACAAAAAAAAAAAAAGGAAAAAACCCAGGAACCTAGAGGGGGAGTAAAGAACAAATAATGAGAGGGCCTTAATCTCAAGCAGATTTCCAATATCATTCATACATCAGTGGAATATGTATTAGTGACAAAGAGATAGGATTTCTGCTAAGAATAAATGCAGAAGCTGGCTTGAAAACAAGTGGCATACCTCATTCAAATGAACATGAATTTGTTTCTATTTTTACTTTTCTAAGTCAGAAAGAAACACTTTATTGGCAGATCAGACCTTAAATATACATATGGAAATAGTTCTGCCTCAATCTATTCACTCCCAGTAGGAGAGTGGCCTACTTCCAAACTTAGGAAGTAAGAAAGTGAGATACCAAGATTTTGAAAACTTTCTTAATGTCACCTAGCTCATCTCTCATTAAAATTTCCCCACCTCAGTTCCAGTACAGGGGTCCATGAGGAGAGATCCACAGAAAAGTAATGGATCATAGAATAATGATGAGAACATTGTAGCTGGTATTTATGATTGGGGCCTTACCTTGTAAAATGTTTCCTTTATAAACTTCTTAGTAACTAAATGTGTTGCAATGAGCACAATCATAAAAATGCATGAATAAAAATAAAATAAAGCTAGGAAGCAAATTTTATGAACAAAATCATTCAAGCTGGTGATTGATGAAGCTCTACATCGATGATAGTCTGGAGGGCAACTAGCAAGCAGTGGAAACTACACATCACATGCAATCAGGAGTAAAGAGCAGAAAATTACTGATGATACATTTCTTCTAAGAAGGTGTATTTATATTTTCTTCCTAAATGTAAATTTTCAAAACTGGCATCTCCTAATAACCCGGGCAAGGTCTTTAATTGGGTCAAAGAGTGGTCACCTTCTTCCTTGACCCATGACCCAAGAAGAAGCAGTGGAAGTAAGCTTTATTGCTAAGAACTTGCAGCAATAAAAAAAAAACAAAACCCAAAAACAACAACAACAAAAAACATCATTTTCCATGAAAAGTTTAGGTTATCTATCTTAATATACTGGGAGGGCCGCTGTCAGTCAAGGGACTGTAAGATTTACAGTTAAAGTTAAGCTGATAGTTATCGTCAGTGTATCAGGTTTGCATCAGCTAGGGCTCGGTTACAGAAGGAGAGAGAAAGACAGAGCTCCTGCTCACAGGGCATAGCCTCCTATGATGCTGAGGGGAAAGTGTGAGGGCAGGAGGACCTCCCTCAGGGCGGGTAAACACAAGCAGGCTGGGATCCGAGTGATTCAGGGCAAAGCCGCCGCCCGCAGGAGGCTGAGGTACTGGGAGCAATGCTGATCCACTTATTGTCTGCACTTTTATTCCAGGAGTCTCTATACATTCTTTTAAAGACCTCCTGTTGATTAAATCAGGCATGCATCTGCATAATCTCCTTAGATCAGAGTCTATATCACAGATTTACATCCTCAAAACCTCTTCACAGCATCACCTAGATTAGTATCTGCTTGAATAATTGCAGGAGATGTAAGTGTTCAAAGCGGCTGATGGATTCCCTTAAACCCTTGTATTACAGCCTAGCCAGGTTGAAACAACAGAATCCCATTACAAGATCATATGCCATTTAGCATAATTAATTATAAATCTTATACAAATGTTACCACTTTAAGCTTAGTACACAGAACTGCCCACCTAGAGAATGACCTGAATATGCACTCTATTTCTCAATAAATGCACCAATTTAGAAAACACTACCGATTGCAATGATAATAATATGATAGTGCTAATTATATTGAAATTTCGGTACCTTAATGACCTTATGTGATCTTGGCTGATATCTGTGCCTTTTAATTTTTAATGTTACATTCTTCAGTGTTTGAATTATATGGTAATGCTAATAATATTGAAATTTTGGTACCTTAATCACCTTATGTGATCTTGACTGATATCTGTGCCTTTTAATCTTTAATGTTACATTCTTCACTGTTTGAATTATTTTGTAATGATTGCTATCATTTAGATTCATTGGTTTCAAAATATTCCTAAGTCAGCAAGCCCACATGAGATATCACAGATTCAACCATTATTTTAAAAATCATTTTTTAATATACAGTGTTGTACTGTATACAGGGTAGAAAGAAAGAAAGTGAAGTCGCTCAGTCATGTCTGACTCTTTGCGACTGCATGGCCTGTAGCCTACAATGCTCCTCCATCCATGAGATTTTCCAGGCAAGGGTACAGGAGTGGGTTGCCATTTCCTTCTCCAGAGGATCTTCCCGACCCAGGGATCAAACCCAGGTTTCCCACATTGCAGGCAGCTGCTTTACCCTCTGAGCCACCAGGGAAGCCCATATGGAGTACAGTATTTTTAATAAACTATTCTCTACATTGTAGAATTTTCAAACATTCTATTCAACTATATAGCAACTGAAAAAATGCTTTAGAGAGAAACAAGAAGATGCATCATTCTTCTTATCACATCCAATCAGCATTATCTGCTATAAACCTGATATAATTTGATGTTAAACATGTTAATGTTGCTGTTAAACATGATTGTTGGTTAATGTAGTTTTTGGAAGGTTTCTTACCTGTAAAGTGAAGTTTCTTTTTTGTCTTGCTTTATAAAATGGAGTACTAAATCTTGTCTATTCTTAAAAGAAAGGTAGATTATGCATTGGTTTCTGAGGTTGTTATTGTTCAGTCACTAAGTCATGTCCCACCCTGCAGCCTCATAGACTAGTATGCCAGTCTCCTCTCCCTTCCACTGTCTCCCAAAGTTTACCCAGATTTGTATCCACTGAGTTGATGATGTTATTTAACCATTTGATCTCCTGCTGCCCCTTTCTCCATTTCCCTTCAATCTCGCCCAGAATTATGTGTTTGTTTGTTTGTTTTTCTGATGAGTTAGCTCATCAGGAGGCCAAAGTATTGGAGCTTCAGCAACAGTACTTCCAATGAATGTTTAGAGTTGGTTTCCTTTACACCATAGTTCAAAAGCTTCAATTTTTTGATGCTCAGCCTTCTTTATGGGCCAACTCTCACATCTGTACATGACTGCTGGAAAAACCATAGATTTGACTATTCAGATCTTTGTCAGCATGGTGATGTCTCTGCTTTTCAATATGCTGGCTAGGTTTGTCACGCCTTACTTCCAAGAA